TTCATCAATGTAGATTGTGAGGCATATTGTGTTGAGAGATCATCAAGTTAATTTGACCCAGTCGTTCACTTTACTATCGCATACTAACGTTTCGAGGCCGATCGTTGTCTCGCATTCGTCGGTTATCTGGACACAATTAATCGGTTTATGATCGAACGAGTCCCTTGACCCCAATGTACGCAGACTTCTCTCTCCCGTCTATACATTCAATATCGAAAATTCGTCTTTGCTGTATTGATCATAATAAACTCACGCATTTCACGTAGTGACCGTTGAACATAAGTGGGACGAAAATATTTGTGATGACTGACAAAGAGCACTGGACGGCTGTTTCGTCCTGTCGGGGCCTCGTCGGGAGCGCGTACATTTGTGTCCCTGTCCGGACTTGAAACGCGAACCATCGGGTTGAGACTTCAAACCCTTAACTTTGAGCTACACGGTCGGTGGTGATCATCCTGTGCGAATAGTTCCAAACTCCAAAACGGGCGAAACAGCTGTCCACTGCCCTTTGTCGGTCATCACAAATATTTCCATCCAGTGGGGAATTAACAATCTCCCAAGAAGTGAAACCCACATATAAAACCATCAACAGTTCCCGGAGGTGGTGACCAAGTGGTTAGGTCACCGAATCGGGACCCNGGGTTCGAACCGCTTCACGCAGCCCGTCTTCATCATTTCTGTATTTTCCCAGACAGTCTTTGTATGACCGCGGCTCCCTTTCCTGAAAGTTGAGTGTACATTTGTATACTCAATAAATGAAAAAAAACAAAGTAGAAAGTCTTTTTTCACGACTGTGAACAGTCGAATGGACCAATCCAAATTTAATTCTCAAACCTATATTTCCTAATTTGTGTAATTGCTCTTAATTCGAGTGCAGAGATGTAAGCGTATGTGCTTACATAAGTTATACAAATACAAACTACAAATACAAGAAATACTAGGTTATATTTTTAATGCCATTTTCTTTATCTCGCCTATCACGATGGCTGTGTTTATTTTTTTTTTCATTCCACACATTTTAAATGATGAACAGCAGATGAGGTGACCACTCACCCCCCCCCCCCCATAGTCATTCGCACAAGATCATCAACATTGTCTGGTGCTTGTGAAAACCGGGATGGGTTAATCCAATCATTCGCCATCTATAGACAAAGAATTCCCCCTTCCCCAAGAATGATCCAAACTCTTGAAATACCCAGATCAAAGTGCTAGGGATGGTTGAACCCGTTTTATAGAGAACTTTTACTTTTGTCCAATCTTTTGTTCAAACAGTCGGACTTAACACCGATGGATTTTGAAATGCACATCCGACTGGAGCGAACTAGCATCGTGTCCGTAATTGCACAACAAATGAGGCTATGAACGAACGCTACTTTGCTAGGAACACATTATGGACGGATGGCTTCAGAGTTAACGTGTGTAACTACAGATTGAGATTATTCCTGGACAAAAATAAACAAGTTGGTATACAAAAAGAGTAACGAAACAATTTGAGACGACCAGGTGTAACGAGCAAGGGCTGAAGCGAAACTCTTGTATAACAACCTATCGACGAGAAAACGTTTTAATGTTTTTTTTCATTTTTCAAATTAATAAAAATGAAATCCTTCGTTTGAGATAAAGTTGACAATTACTAGTTTTACTTTCTGGTTTCTTCTTATTCATACTGATCTTCACTGGACCTCTCACATTCAACACATCGTCGGTAAGCTTCGACGACCTTCTTTTCATATCCGTAAATGCGTATATCAGTGTGTTCTTCCCGTTCTACTTTATTGTGCGTACGTCATTTGAATGTATGTGAGAAGTTTGAGATTCTTATCAACTCCACGCATTCACTACACGTAGATCTAACTTCCTATAGTTCCTATCCTTCAACTAGAACCTAATATCGTTCTGTTCCCTCTCGAATAAACATATATCATAACTCTACAGTACTCTTATTAGCACGTATTCCAGTCAACAAAGAACAGGTTTTCACAGACTTTGCTCACATTTTTGAGATTTAAATATCGTTTTATTTCATTTTTATTTTCTATTTTCTCACTCACTCCAATCTGGATATCTTTAACTTAAATGTAGACTTTATGCCCACAGAAGTTATTACAATACAATAAAACACAGTCTTATTATCGAATCGGAGATTATCTGGAAACAATCTTCCCCGAAAACAAAGTAAGAAAACGGTAGTCATGGTATCAGATACATAAGCCTCATCACCTTGACAAAGAAGGGGTCACGAGAAGACAAACAGGTTCCTCTTTGTTTAGTGATCTCAATCAATCACAATGAAGCCCTAGCACCGTTAGTTTACAATTCCCACAAACAAATGGACTAAGCAGACAGGAAGACGATAGTTTTTCATATTCCGCCGCGTCACAGTTTGACCCTGTTACTATAGCCTGGAGGTTCACGTCATACAATGATAACGTTCAGGTATCAAACGGTGCACAGTTGTGAGTAGTGTGCGTGCGCCGTGACCTTTCGGTTTTGCAGATCGTTCTCTCTCTCTCAACACATCCAGGGTGTGTGTGTGTATGTGGTCGGTGAGAACACGGCCAAAACAGTCGGCTCTCGGGACAACAAACATACGGGACGCGTGTACTCATACGATCGATTGTAGTCAGTCTCACAGATGCGAGTAAGTGAATGGAAAGAGAGATAGAGAGATGGTGACGGATTGATCAGCCACTCTCTCTTTCTGTAAGCAAAAAGCGGATTTATAGATGAGACTATAGAGTAGGAACTTGAGTGGATTGAGCAATGTTACAGACAGTGTCCCACAGTCTCCTGTGAATAAAATCTCTCCCCTTAGGATGGGGAAAATATGATTTCATTTAATCCTCTCGATGATGATGATGATAATAATAGACTGTGTTTGGTTTCGAGTGGTTCACCGGGCTAGAAGTGACATTTGCAGACGTTCCGCAGACCGGCAAGATAACATTGTAATAGCCTGGCGACGAAACGTCTGAAAACAATATATATATATGTAGCGAAAAGAACCCTCCAACACCGGCATCCGCATACC